CTTTCATTGTACAAGTTAGGAAAGAGCACAATCAGACACATTATGGTTGCTGGCAATATACATCAAAATGAGTGTACATTATTCAGATGTCTATTCCTAAACTGCTAACATCCAATTAACGATCACTCAATATTTATCGTCAGGATCGATCAAGAAATAAGAAATGGAAACATGTTGAAATACTTTGCATCAAGTATTCTATATTAAACCGACAAAATATTTTTGAATAAAGCCAATAATAATAATAATAGAAGCAATTGATTATTATTTTGCAAAGCTGAACTCCATTACTTTGCAATCAACTGTAACACTGATAATAGTGTGGTTTGGAGATAAACATAGAAAGTCAATACACAACTCTGTCTACTCTCATTTGACTGACAGAAATCTTTTAGTTGACTGAACTAAAGCATTAACACTGAATACTTTTATTATATCCGGTTCTACAATTGCACTTAACCTCCTCTTTGACACATTGCACAAATTGGAACAAATCAAACCAACAACTGTAGATTTTGTAATGTAAAATGTTTCCAGAACCCATGTAACTCCTTTGTAAGCAGTTTGAGCGTATTTTATTTTCTCTATCAATTATCGTATATCCATTGAATCTAACAATCTTGACAGAATCGAGAACGACCCAATACATGTTACATAGGTCATACACCATACTTCATGAAAGTAGATCCATCTCGAACACACCACAGATTCACCTCACCTCATTTCTTTCACACTTAGTATAGATGTTATTATCCTTATCCAATTACACAGTTCCCTGCATCTTCACTGAAAACACTAAGAAATGTGTTGTTAACTCATCAAGAATTTTTCTAATAATTTCCTAAAATCAGTTCAACATTTAGAACTAACAACTACTATTTAGATCATCTTGCAATTCACATTTTCTTATAATTACTAGTTCCTATAATTGGTATTGATTGCATTAACAGGTAACTCAATGTCTAATACATCATTGCTCGTGTCGGCATTTTTCTCATGTGATTGGATTTAATCCAATGTAAAATAATAAACGAATAAATGATACCTGTCAAGGAAGTCAATTTCATACACAGATCAACTGATATCTCACATTGATGCCGGTTAAATTATAGTTTGATATTTGTCATGCACACCAGTTATTACACTTCAGAAGACATCAGATTATTTTACTCACTTTCATTGTGTTGAAACGCTTTGATATTAGTCGTAAGATGATAATCACGATCCTTCAGAAATATTGCTGGTGTCTGCTGGGATCACCGGGTAAGTAATAGTGAGATTAGACGCAGGGTATTAGGGAATGATGGTAAATCAGATGATGAATCTTCATTGACTGAGATGTTTGGGTTGTGTGTTACGTAGGCCTGAACACTGATTACCACGACGTGCAATGCTAACCGGTGTTTTGGATGGTTGAAAGAAAGTTGGGGGCGGCCAAACCAAAACGTGGCACCAGTGCTTGAAGTCACTAACTTGTAGTCATGTAGCCATGTCGGTAGATGCAGACTACTTGGTTGGGGTCCACGTGTCTATCGTATCCAATGGTTGGAGACTCTTGGTGTCATGGCTCAGAATCGATCACAATGGCGTTGATGTATACACTCTCTGTCTTCCCTTAAACTAAGAGATTAAAATCGCTTCATATTTTCCTTTCTACGAACTAATTTTTTCTTCCTGTAATATATCCTTATATGCAGTTTTTCTTTTATATATTACCACCATTGAATTAACTTCTTTTATGAATCCGGTGTCCATCTTGTTGTGTTAATGAGGTATGGCAACTTGGATCGATGTATATATGTGCCTGGTCCTACGTTGTAGCTGACTGACTGGATCAAGAACCCTCATGTTTTCTATTTTAGATAGTACATGATAATAGTGTTAATAATACATCATTTGTCACGAATGAAAAACCGTAGAAAGACGTGAATCACATTGGGAGACCATTTATACATTTTATATTTGTTTTTAAAATCAATCAAGTTTATTTTTTATTATTTCTCATAATATTTTCCTAGGTCTAATTGACAAAACTTTCATTTGTTGCCATGAGTTTACTAGTTCAAAAACAGAAATTTCTAAAGTATTTAATTAATCAAATAACCGTGAATTAGTGTAATTCTATCTTTAATCTACAAAAGTTCTATAAAATATCTCATTTCACAATTGATTGATCACTGGGTGGTGATCAATGTCATGCTTGTCTAGTCCTTATTAGTGCAGATCGAATGCTATCGATCATGTTGCAATGTGGCCACCAGTCTAGGTGACTCGACACTGCGGGCACTATGTATTAAGATTTAGATGGTGGTTGGAGGTAGTCAACAGGAAACCCTGAACTCGGGTTTCGTGCTACTTAGCACTCGTCAGCAAGGTGTACCTGTAATCGATTCCACCATGGCTAACTGTTAATATTACCAAATGATCATCGTATTTCAAGAATTAAATTAATCTGATTGATATGATGGAAAGAAAATTCAAAATTCAATTGGTTTACTCATTATGAATTTTGTTCAATATTCTTTTCGTTCTAATTCAATATGATGATTATTCAGTGTAGTATTCGGTTTTGTTTTCCCGTATGATATTTTATTCTGTTTAATATACGATATTCTTGTATTCCATTGACATGAACTATGCTCGGTATGGGCTTTGTTATAACTGAGTATTTTTTATATATGTGATCTAATCCTAATTATTAATCAAAATGAGTGTACAATCATTATAAAAATGAGTGTATTTCCGACTAGGGTTGTCGTCGTCGTGTTTCGAGGGTTAATAAATCTTCGCTTATACCAGTCTTTGTGTATTTACTTTGACGTCGTGCGGATTGCACACATCACTCGTTTCGAGTATAAGTGATAAGAGTTTCCGACATAACAATGAGCGACGACCAGATATAACAAGTAACATCCAATTGACAAGTTATAACACTGATAATAACGAAAATAAAAGCGATATGAATTTTTATGTCAAAAGATTGCTGTTCATACGTTTGTTAATTTGAGTTTACAAAAATGGTTATATCATACATTAGTTATTTTCGGAATAAGCAAGTTTAATAATGAGTACTATATGACGTTGATGGTTTTAACTTTTGGTTGTCATACACTGACAGAGACATTAGAAATGTTACATTGGATCAAGTGATCAGTAATAACATTTATCTTCGAATGTTTCATGTTTGTAAGAGTATCCCTATGGTTATTAAAGTTAACTTTGAAAAGTGAATGCATTTAGTTGTTTAGTTTTCTTTCTTATTTATTTTTAAAGCTTGTAGTTAAATACTATCTCCAACCCGACAATTCATATCTAAATGTAGCTTTGATTATTGTAGGGATACATCGAAATCACTGAAGTATAATTGTTTTAATCATCAAAAGAAATCATAAAGGAGACACGTGGTACTTCGACTGTCATCTTGAAGTTCAACGAAACTACTATCTCAGATCGAAATAATCCCTCATTAATATCAACAGTGATTTGTTTTTCAGTATAGGCTATAGAGACTGACGAATCATGAACTAAAATAAGTTAAATGTATTTATGTATACATAAGTTCTAAAACGTGGACATTATTTAGCAAGGGAGTGAAATCTGAAGAGCTAGTCGAATATTTAGTTGAAACAATTAAAATATTTGAGTAGATTTCACTTAATGGATTCGTCAATCTATGATCAATTTTAACTGATAAATTCCTATTTTGTTGAGATTTGACTGACCGTGTGTATACTTAATGCATTTGGTTAGAGATTTGTTCGGTGAACTGAACAGTTTATTCGTGAGACTTTCATTGTTCTTCTGAACTACATCATCTGAACAAACTTCGGAGAGAAGTAACGTATTCAAATTTCTCAACAAATAACAGGCAGCTTATCCTGTCAATCTTGATCTTGACTGGTTATTGTTTGGCTTTAATTTTCCACTAGCAATTGGTCATATGTAGAGAGAATCGAATAGCTCTCCTCCACCTGAAGTCTGTTGTGGTGTTGTTCAGTAGAACACTGAATACTGTATGATCAAACCACCCAGTTCTGAGAATAAACCTCCAACAAAATCATATGACTTTAGCTACAAATGTTCTCGACCATTTCAAAATAATCCATTACCTACTCAAAATTTTGAGTTTATTGTTTACTTCAAGTGTTCATGTAGTTCAACAAAATCGTTATTGGATGAAGGTAAGTGATCAAGTGGTTAACTGATTAAAATCAGTAACTGACGCAAAGTAAATAATTTTCATGCAATCTCAAATATTTAACGTATTTTCGAGATCTACTACTGATAGCATGAAAGAATCGGGCATGAGTATGTTTACGTGATAAGTCGTAGATCCTACAATGAAGGAAGCATATTTCATGAGCATACAGCTCCAACGATTTGGAAAGCAAAGCAACATACATTCAAGTATTGATTTAAAGATCTTTTACCATGGTACTTCTTTAAATATTCTTCAACCAAATGTCAATTGCGATTAATTTACTTAAAAATATGCTAAGGGAGATAATTTCTTTGTTCGCACCATTATCTCTTTTTATAATTACACGTATATAATGATTACCATTTCGCTCATCGCATTCTCATTGATATAGTACTTAAGAACACCTGTCACGTAATTTATGTGATGCTTCTCAAAGAAATATATTCAAAATTTCCAAGGTATCTAAATTCATAACTATTTACCAGTGCTACTCAAAATAGTGTTTTTGAGTCTTTTAATTAAAATACATTAAGTAGAGTTTTCTGATGATATGGTGCCAACGAAATGTTAGCTAGCCAAACTATTCAATTAAGGGGTTTAACAATAAACATGAAGATCATATCCTAAAATATTTGCGTTGCTTATGAATAATGCTTGAATAACATTAACAAGGCATGTCTATTTAATTAGTATGTCTATTGTACTGATCACAAATACCAATCAACGTGTACTTTTTCGATTGATGAAAACATGTCTCACGTTAGTGATAACACACTGTTTTCAAAAAATCTTGAATAAAATATCCTTGAGAATGTATGAGGCGATATAGATCTAAAAACTTTCGTCGGATATTGGCTTCATTGTTACCACTATGGTGTATACTTCACAAATTCTACTCATGTTGTTGTTGATTATAGTCAATACAGATTACAGTAAGTTAACTCGTTAATTTTCCATTTCATTATAGTGTTTATTTTCATTTGATCTTGCATACTGATCTAGATTATTCAACAATTCATCTTGTTATCTGTAGCTAACATCTAATTTAATGAAAACTGTCAAACTTGATTAAGACAATGATAAGAAAAAAAGAAATTATGATAACTGCTCATGACCGAAATATTTATTTAAAATAACTTATCAACCTTGTTTTGATACATTAAACTTATATATACACAATAAACATTAAAACCTATGAAATTACTCAAACAATAAAGCAGTAATGCGTACTTATGTGTGATCAACCAAACAATTGTTAAGAGAGTTAAAATAACAAATATTTTGCTGATAACGGCTTCACTAAAACTCCAAGAAGCATTTCCTGCAGTTCTAGTGAGAAGCTGTTACCAGTGGAGTTCAACCAGGTCTGTTGTGAGATATTAACTCACTGAAGACAATGGTGTACGGTGACGCAACATCGTGGATTGGTTGAAATTAAACACTAACACCGTAGGATGCCGGCTCAGTGGTCTATAAGTTAAGCGCTCGCGCGCGAGACTGATAGGTCACGGGTTCGGATCTTGCGGGATACGAGATCGTGGATGCGCACTGCTGAGGAGTCCCACAACAGGAAGAAACGGCCGTCCAGAGCATTCAGGTTTTTTAATGGTGATCTAGCTTCAATTGACTCATGATTTCAACTATTGAAATTTCTAAAAAATCTTCACAAAACCTCTTGAAAGCAGTAAAACGATATAAGGCTGTTTCAATTTCACATGAGCAAAGGGGCTTTGTAATGTAGTTTCACATATTCCTATTACAACTATTATACCTGTTATCACATTGTGAATTTGTACATCTTACTTAGTATGTTTATTTATGTAATCTATTCCACTGTTATCACTGACTCATAAATTGCCTTGATTGGTTTATTAATTTCTTATTTTTGTATATTCAAGTCCGATGAAGATCTGGTTGAAAACAATGTTGTTCGCTAATGTACATTGTTCTAAATACACATATTGGCTGTTCTCGTGTGAAGCAGAGAACTACTTGTTTACCTGTTTGTTTATTGCAAGTGCATTCCGAATCACATAACAAATCTTAGGTACAAGTGACACTTCAAATAATATACTACCTTAAAAGCTGTTTAAATGTCCATAACAGTTCTGTTTGTTATTCAGATAAAAATTACATTGATAATCGATTGTCGCATTAAAATTTTCGATACCGAATTCAAAGTAGACAATGTGACAGAATATGCTACAATGATGTTCATCAGGGTAATAATTACATAGACACATTTATTTATTTATTTGGTTCAGATGTAACATAATTAGAATATTAGCTTAAAATTTGGATTATAAGGTAAATATATCATAGATACTCACTTAAATTGCGAATCAATTTTTTATCATTCTTTCCCAGCCTCCTCACAATAACTTCATTAACAAAATGTCTTAAGTATCAGCTCTGTGTTTTTCGAATGTAGAAAATCAGTGTATCAATTAAATAGAACAAATAATATAAAATTCTAAGTTGCAAAGCATTCATTACAAAACATATTTGACTTGACTATCGAAAGCAGTCAGTTGAAAGTACTTAAAATACACTTATAATCGACTGCTTATTGACTTGATTACAAAACATCACCTAGTTTAACATCATTATCTTTGTAACTGTTATTGTTTCTTTAAAGAGATCATCTATAAAATATAGACTATCATTTTTGAACTGCATCCCGAACGTTTAATACTAACAGTTGAATGTATTATAATTGCTATCTTAATTATTTGAAGGAAATCCCTAGTCGGGTTTCGCAAGTCATTGATATATCAGGCTTGAGCATAAATCATCATACAATTGACTGAGTTTAAAGTAATTAGTTGTTGTTAGATAATGTTAGACACTTACACCAGTGGATGCCAGTTCAGTGGTCCAGTAGGTTGAGTGAGACTGAAGGCCCTGGGTTCGAATCTCGTGAGGAGGATCGTAGATACGCACTGCTGAGGAGTCCCACAACAGGTCGAAACGACCGTCCAGTGCTTCCAGGTTTCCAACGGTGGTCTAACATCAATCGGTTCATAATTTTAATAAAAAAATCAGTTGTTTTAGTAAATTTGGATAGTTTAGTAAGAAGACGAAGATTATCGAAAGTATGTGTCATATTAATGTAAAATATTTTGAACAATTTGATCACACACATTTATATATGAAAAATTATAAGGTTAACTAGACAAATGGAGAGAAATTTAAGAAGAAACAAAAATAAACAAAATAATATGAAAAACAATGTTGAACTCATCACTCTGGATAACCAAATTATATTACCGGGATAGGTTTATGTATTCAAAAATAATTTGCTCTCAATTTAACCCTACATTGTTTTGAATTAATTTGACTCATTATTTAATGCTCTGAAAGATATTTAGCTTCAATAACTTGCTTAGGGATTCGTTTCGGTTGAGAATACGTAATAACAAACCTTCTTTTTTACCGCATTTTACATCTAATTCAAGACGTGAAAATGTAAAACCGATTGTTCACATTCTCCATGTAGTATAAAATCTAAAATATGAGCACATGGTTGAGGAAGATATTACCTGAATATGAAAATATATAACAACGTTTTTTGAGGTTTATGAATTGAATCATTCATAATTAGTTAATCACTGAGTAGTGACCGGTGTTATATTTATTAACTCCTTGTTATTGCTTGAGACATCGGGTCATTTAGACCAGTGAGTAAATTGCAACTTGACTGATAGAATTCTCTCAGGACTATGTAGAGATGCTCGTTCGTCAGATGTAGTCTGAAGTAGAGCCTGCCTATCCTATTCAATAAGCAATTAATTATAAATTCATCTGAGTCCAACAGGAGATCAGTAAGTGTCCCATTAGCTGCTCGGTGACAACGTTGTTAACTATGAAGCTGGGATTCACAAGCTCGAATCTTCGACGGTGCTCCAGTTTTCTCTAGAATACATGTATACATTGATGACTAGTGCCATATAACACGAGAAGTAGGGTCAAGACTTATTGATAACTATTTTCAACTATATAGTTGACGATTATTCATTCCGATTATCTCCTCGAGAGATTTTTTAGCATCAGTAACATCATTATGAAGTGAAGTATCTTTAACTTGCATGAATGTTTTGTTAGCGATTCATTGATGGTTCGAACCTTTGTTTCAGTTTAGAAATTCCACAGTTACTGTTTTTCTTACGTACAGTGGGTTAAATTTGTGTCATTGTGTCTGATAGTTATCTCTTATCTCAAATGACAAACCTCAAAATGTTCTCTCTAAATCAGGAAGTTCTATTGTAGAACTTAAATGTGCTTCTAATTGAATGCATTATTGTTATTGTCCAATAGCGTTGTAATCAAAGACGGTATACCATATCACCTAGATACAAGAGGAAAATAAATCAATGTATTTATTTTGGTTCAAAGTTGAAATAATAATAATAAACACTTGATCAATCGAAATTCCCAGTAGATATTTATAAGTATGAAAGGTAAGGCGTTCTACTTATCACACTGAAGTTCTATGGTTACATCATTAATATTTTTGAATCTGATTTCAGGCCTTCCATTGGTTTGCTATTCATGCAGAGTATGTCCAGGACCATTCGACCCTTCATCTCAAACAGTCAGGAATTTAAGCAGCAGTAAATGGCGTACAGTAAGTACAATGAATAATACATTCGTAGAGTTGTACGAAACATTTTTCGCCCTTGGTAGTAAGCTAGATTACAGGAGCTAGGCCAGTAATTGAATGTAAATAATGTACTTGAATTCTTGCTACAGAATTTTTGTTGTGAATTTACTGAATTTTCGATAATATTTCTACTGTGAGAATGTTACTGACCAACTGCTTCTTAGAAGTTAAAAAGTTTCTATTCCAATGAGTGGGTGACTGCTGATTACTGCTCGAGGATTAAGTCGTTTACCTCACATAGTTTAATAGTAATACGTAATTACAGTTTTAAGTCATGAATCGACCCATAGCCAGACCACTATTAAGAAATAAATGTATTGGTCGGCCATTTAGTCAGAGTTTGTGGCTTTCCAGTATTACTCATCCATAACCCTACATGCGGCAGTTGAACCCAGGGTCTTCGGTCTTGCACACAAATTTTTTGCCTCTAGACCATTGAGCCAGCATCCAACGGTGTTAGTGTCAAACACCAACTCATAATATTGCCTTCAGGTATTCAGTGGCAGTCTAGCTAAGATAAGCTTGCGACTTAAAACTGTGGAAATTCAACGACCTCCACGAATCTCCTATACTTATGATAATACGTATGCTGACAAATACTAAATTTTTTGAGCTAAAGACTCAAATGTTGAAGTGTCCCAAATTATCTTAGCCCAATTTCCCAATGCTGTTTCTATAACATTTGCAGACAATACTGCCTAGAATGATGTATACAAGCCCTTTATAATAATTTATTCGACAGCAAATTACGCTAGAGGTTATTAATGTTCCATATTTGTAACAGTAATATTTCGATTGTATTCATTGTTATACAAAAGTACACCCATATAATTTCTTGAGTTTTATCATAGAATGTTTTAGTTAAAAGCACACATAATACATTGAGAGAGTGTTCACCGGAATGGAACTTTGAATATTGGGACAAAAAATACAAATCGCTTGAATATCATTGTGATCAAACTGATTATTGTAATAAAACGGTACAGATTCATGTTGTGGAGATGGACCTGTCAAGCTTATTTTGTAAATAGTTTTCAATGTTATTTGTATTTACTTTGTCAGCCTTCCACTGTATGTATATTTAACATTAAATGACTGTAACTGTTGTTTTAGTAAATGACCTTGAACACACTTTCCGTTGTACTGCTACATTGCGTGCCATACCGCTGCTAGCTAACAAATACAACGCTTCTCGCACACTCATCGTTCTATTTCCATTTGTGATTGAGATATCCGAAGTCTAAATCAAATTCTATCTTCATTTATAGACTGTAACCGAAATATATCACATTCAACGTTGGATTATATCATTAGAGAGTTCACCAACTTGTTCAGAATCAACAAACATTTATAATTGTGGATTTACTTTACTGGACCTAATCCTAACACGCGACGTCTGATCAATTTAAGTAACGTCCCCAATTTTTATCGTATTTGTGACAATTAATTATATATATTAATATTACTATTGATTTTAATAACTTTGTTTATATTTTTTTGTGTTCATATCTGTTTGGTCCACCACAATGTAATTCATCGGATCCTACATATAAATATCATAACATTCACATGTGTTTTCATTAATAAAATGCAGTAAATTGTAACAAACATTACAATTTGTCTTAATCAAACATTTAAAAATAACCTTACCTCAATTTTAGACATGTTTATATCTCTATGATAAAATGCTAACTCTTCATTCGTACATATATCTTATATATCAGTAACTTTCGTTTATTGCATTCTATCTTTTTATTAACATAATATTTTAATGGCTAGATTTGTAACTAAGTTTTATATTGATATATTAATTAAATTGTTTGTTAATTACAAATTATATATATATGGAAATGTGTATTGAATTAGCTGACATTGGTTGATTATTATCACGAATTTCAGTAATATTGATTTCTTTTGATAAAATTCATCATTCATTAACACGAACAATAATGTATTTGATTATAGATTATTCTAAAACTATGAAGCCTAGTCAATTACGAGGTATGGTTTGTAGATCGACAAAATGACTCACTTAAAAGATTAACACTTTTTTAGAGCCATTTCCAAGTATTGATATCAAATGACTTGACAAAATATTCAATTTATTATCCATTCGAATGGCTAAATTTCAATTTTCAGTTTCACAAGAAGTAACGAATTAAATAAAAATAAATGTACGAGTGAATAATTCTTTGCAACATCTTATACAATTAAGTGATATTTATTAAGTACTTTAAGGTTCTTACTATGGTCAATATTTCATGAAAATAATACTGGTATATTATTTAGGACTCAATAGATAATAGCTATGTAGTTATGATCCACAAAACCCCTTCTGATAATAATCATCTGCTCACTAGTGATTGACTTCAAGAGATACTCCTGGAGTTCTAGTGAGAAGCCGTTACCAGTGGAGTTCACCCAGGTCTATTGTGAGATATCAACTCACTGAAGACAATGGTGTACAGTGACGCAACTTCGAGGATTGGTTGAAGTTAGACATTAACACCGTTGGGTACCGGTTCAGTGGTCTAGTTGATTGAGCACCTGGCTCGAGACTGATAGGTCCTGGGCTCGGACCTCGTGGATGCTCACCGCTGAGTGGTCCCACAACAGGACGAAACAGTCGTCCAGTGCTTCCAGGTCTTCCATGGTGGTCAATCAGTGAAATTTCTAAAATCTCCACAAAACGCCTTCTGATTATTCAATGATCTGTTATGTAAGATACTTAGCAGAAGTGGATGCCAAGAACAAGACCGCTGTTAGATGAAACAATTACTAGGTATTTATGAAATCAAATTATTTACACTAACTTTTATTGATGTATAGATTTCCACAGTTTACATCTGGAATAAACATGAAATCTTCACAATCAAAAGAAAAGAATTTATTTTTATACATCAAGATTATTGTTATTTTTACAATTTTTTATCATGTAGTTAAAAACAAATAAGATTCAAATTATACGTAAATTACAAGAAGAACAAAATTCTATTTTCTGTTTAGTATGTCATTGAATAAAAATAAAGATAATCCAGCGAAGAAAATCCTCTTTCGTATTTATAGTTATTTAGTAAATAGAAACATTGCATCATGATATGATGAGTTAAAGATGAATAGGAGGATGAAAATAGTTAACGGGTCAGAATTATAAAAATTTTATGTTCGCTACTTCATTAACATAAAATACGATGTACAACCAACCTCCTTAGTCGAAAACTAAAAAACAGGAGAAAGAAGTAGTTGTTCTGTAAGAATCAAAAAATGTACGGAATATCATGGGTATTTATAGATATTAACATTAGTGTTAGGTATGCAGAGGAATCTGCCAATAATTATCGTGTCAAGTCGAATGGTGTCCTTGGACATTAAATGTACATTTCCTATTGGTCGATATTTGCTTCAGTTGTCTAATATTGTGTAAATGTTGTTTCCTATTTTATGGTACGATGTGGTATGCTTGGTTAGTATATAAATGGAGTATGCCTGAAATATAATGATTCATATCTCAGAGGCTGTGGCTTTGTTCTGGACTCAACTGGCTGGGGTAGACAGGGAATCAGGGCCAATCAGGGCACTAGGTCGTTCGTACGTATTTACGTGTCACTGTAACCGGTCGATCGATATAAACGCTGCGTATCATATCCTGCAGTCTCACACTCGTTACAACAATTGGCGACGGGGTAGAGAAAATTTGGAACCCTCTAATTGGACGAGATTCAGCTTAATTATTTTGACCAATCAGCGTCCAGAATTTATTATCGGTGTTCTTGGAAGTCATTGGTTATTAATTGGTCACAGTATTTCTTATTACCCTGCTGTCTCAGTAAATGACTATACTTCCCGATCAATTGCAGCTACTACTTGACCGCCAGCAGCAGCGTTTCAGACAGTGCCAGTTGAATGTTTTGGACAATTTACGCACGCGACTGCTAAATCTCCCGTGTTTTGGAGATGTGAAAGAAATTGATGAATTAATTTCTCAGCTGCATACTGAACTCGAGAATGACTGCAGGAGGTATAAATATGAAAACAAAAGCCTCTATGAATCCTTAACGAGCAGCAATGCAAACGAGGCAGTCGCTCATGATCCGTCCAGCGATTCAGAAATGTCCAGTTCAGAAGCATGCCCTGTCGTGGGTTCAAATCCCACTGTGCCCGAAACATGTGAGGTATACAGCACACAAGAAGAACTCGTGCCAGAAAATGTGTATCATGCATCAAATAATGGTCAGGAATCTAATACAAATTTCAAGGAAGCTGTTTATTCTAGTGACCTATTATCCACTGATGGAATCTTGAAGAGTTCTGGTGAATATGTTTCACAAGAATCAAACCTGAATGACCTCATGTCTGGTGTCGCTAATCCTCATCATCTAGTCAGTTTTAGTGATCCCTCTATTCAATGCGCGAAATATGCTTTAAATAGAATCAGACTAACTGTTACTTGGGTACATGAGGACCCAACATTATTCCGCGGGGGAGGACGGACGCAGAAAATTTTAAAATCCGGTTATCAACTCCGGATCCTCAAAAAAGAGGGGGAGGTGTTAGGTATGCAGAGGAATCTGCCAATAATTATCGTGTCAAGTCGAATGGTGTCCTTGGACATTAAATGTACATTTCCTATTGGTCGATATTTGCTTCAGTTGTCTAATATTGTGTAAATGTTGTTTCCTATTTTATGGTACGATGTGGTATGCTTGGTTAGTATATAAATGGAGTATGCCTGAAATATAATGATTCATATCTCAGAGGCTGTGGCTTTGTTCTGGACTCAACTGGCTGGGGTAGACAGGGAATCAGGGCCAATCAGGGCACTAGGTCGTTCGTACGTATTTACGTGTCACTGTAACCGGTCGATCGATATAAACGCTGCGTATCATATCCTGCAGTCTCACACTCGTTACAACAATTGGCGACGGGGTAGAGAAAATTTGGAACCCTCTAATTGGACGAGATTCAGCTTAATTATTTCGACCAATCAGCGTCCAGAATTTATTATCGGTGTTCTTGGAAGTCATTGGTTATTAATTGGTCACAGTATTTCTTATTACCCTGCTGTCTCAGTAAATGACTATACTTCCCGATCAATTGCAGCTACTACTTGACCGCCAGCAGCAGCGTTTCAGACAGTGCCAGTTGAATGTTTTGGACAATTTACGCACGCGACTGCTAAATCTCCCGTGTTTTGGAGATGTGAAAGAAATTGATGAATTAATTTCTCAGCTGCATACTGAACTCGAGAATGACTGCAGGAGGTATAAATATGAAAACAAAAGCCTCTATGAATCCTTAACGAGCAGCAATGCAAACGAGGCAGTCGCTCATGATCCGTCCAGCGATTCAGAAATGTCCAGTTCAGAAGCATGCCCTGTCGTGGGTTCAAATCCCACTGTGCCCGAAACATGTGAGGTATACAGCACACAAGAAGAACTCGTGCCAGAAAATGTGTATCATGCATCAAATAATGGTCAGGAATCTAATACAAATTTCAAGGAAGCTGTTTATTCTAGTGACCTATTATCCACTGATGGAATCTTGAAGAGTTCTGGTGAATATGTTTCACAAGAATCAAACCTGAATGACCTCATGTCTGGTGTCGCTAATCCTCATCATCTAGTCAGTTTTAGTGATCCCTCTATTCAATGCGCGAAATATGCTTTAAATAGAATCAGACTAACTGTTACTTGGGTACATGAGGACCCAACATTATTCCGCGGGGGAGGACGGACGCAGAAAATTTTAAAATCCGGTTATCAACTCCGGATCCTCAAAAAAGAGGGGGAGGTGTTAGGTATGCAGAGGAATCTGCCAATAATTATCGTGTCAAGTCGAATGGTGTCCTTGGACATTAAATGTACATTTCCTATTGGTCGATATTTGCTTCAGTTGTCTAATATTGTGTAAATGTTGTTTCCTATTTTATGGTACGATGTGGTATGCTTGGTTAGTATATAAATGGAGTATGCCTGAAATATAATGATTCATATCTCAGAGGCTGTGGCTTTGTTCTGGACTCAACTGGCTGGGGTAGACAGGGAATCAGGGCCAATCAGGGCACTAGGTCGTTCGTACGTATTTACGTGTCACTGTAACCGGTCGATCGATATAAACGCTGCGTATCATATCCTGCAGTCTCACACTCGTTACAACAATTGGCGACGGGGTAGAGAAAATTTGGAACCCTCTAATTGGACGAGATTCAGCTTAATTATTTTGACCAATCAGCGTCCAGAATTTATTATCGGTGTTCTTGGAAGTCATTGGTTATTAATTGGTCACAGTATTTCTTATTACCCTGCTGTCTCAGTAAATGACTATACTTCCCGATCAATTGCAGCTACTACTTGACCGCCAGCAGCAGCGTTTCAGACAGTGCCAGTTGAATGTTTTGGACAATTTACGCACGCGACTGCTAAATCTCCCGTGTTTTGGAGATGTGAAAGAAATTGATGAATTAATTTCTCAGCTGCATACTGAACTCGAGAATGACTGCAGGAGGTATAAATATGAAAACAAAAGCCTCTATGAATCCTTAACGAGCAGCAATGCAAACGAGGCAGTCGCTCATGATCCGTCCAGCGATTCAGAAATGTCCAGTTCAGAAGCATGCCCTGTCGTGGGTTCAAATCCCACTGTGCCCGAAACATGTGAGGTATACAGCACACAAGAAGAACTCGTGCCAGAAAATGTGTATCATGCATCAAATAATGGTCAGGAATCTAATACAAATTTCAAGGAAGCTGTTTATTCTAGTGACCTATTATCCACTGATGGAATCTTGAAGAGTTCTGGTGAATATGTTTCACAAGAATCAAACCTGAA